ATCATTTGGCATCTTTTGGAGGCTGTGCTCGGTTCCGGCCACAGGGGGGTGCTGTTGCTCCATCTCCAATTTCAAGCTATTTCCGAAGTGGTTCTCTCCACCTATCCTTCTCTTCCGTTTTGGAAAAAGAGGGTGAATTCTGCCACCAAAAGCCCTCTTCCACTGTGATTAGCCAGCCTCTCAGCCAAGGGGAGGGCTGTTTCTGAGACTCCAAGCAGGGAGGAGAGAACAGATGTGCTTGGAGCATGGCAGCGTGGTGTGCATATGCGGGTGAAAGAGAGCATGCGAGGCTGGAGGGAGGCTCGCACTAGCAAATCCCTTCAAGGCATGAGGGTTCAATATGGGGTTCAATTCTATCATTGGTGGGGTTCAGAATGCTCTTTGATTGTAGGTGAAATATAAATCTCAGCAACTACAGTGCTCTCTGGATGTAGGCAAACTACAACTCCAAAACTCAAGGTCAATGCCCACCAAACTCTGTTGGTCATGGGAGTTCTGTATGCCAGGTTTGGTTCAATTCCATCATTGCTAGAGTTCAGAATAATAATAATAATAATAATAATAATAATAATAATCATCATCATCATCATCATTATCATCATCATCTTTATTTATACCCCATCACCATCTCCCCAAAGGGGACTCGGGGCGGCTTACATGAGGCCAAGCCCGTAACACAATTACAACAAAACAAATACAGAACAGCAAAAATAACATCACAATAAAATAAGTAAAACATGAGAATAAAATAAAAAAGTGCAAAATACAAAATGAAAAATCAAACATAGTGGGCGGGCCAAATGTACGGCATACAATGATAAAACTCTGGATGAGATAACAATGAAATATATATACACAGGATCCTTGGTTAGGACGCTTTAAACATAATTTCCAGCGGGCGCCGTACCTAAAAGCTGATGTACCAAGACACCTAAGAATTGCTTTTACCAGGGCAAGATTTGAACAAATTGAGTCCATGGAGAGACACGGCAGATTCAATCATATCCCACATAAAGAAAGACTGTGTATCTGTGGCGCCTCCGAAGTCGAAAATCTGAACCACAATTTACATCACTGCAATCTATATGAAAAAGAAAGGCTGGTTACAACCTCATTCTGACAACAAAACTTGCCCTTTATTTGTTTAAAGCTGCTAAATGGAGATCGGAATACATAGATCAGATTGGGGTGCAGTGTAGGGGAGATGAGGATAGTTGATGCATATATCTACGGCTAAGCTACATACATAAGTATGTTGTATGTTGTGTTTCCACTGTCTGTTTTTGATAAGGCCAACTGGCTAATCAATATAATTGTTGGTTCGTGTATATATATGTAAGGGGGGAGCTCGTAGGGGACGGAACAGTGGAGTCAGGCCTTAAGAAAGGTGGGGGGGGGGATGCTGTTTGATTGTAGGTGAACTATAAATCCTGGCAACTACAACTCCCAAATGACAAAATCTATCCCCCCAACCCTACTAATATTAAAATTGTGGCATATTGGCCTCATGTAAGCCGCCCCGAGTCCCCTTGGGGAGATGGTGGCAGGGTATAAATAAAGTATTATTATTATTATTATTATTATTATTATTATTATATTGTGTATTTGTGCCAAATTAGGTCTAGAGAATGAAAATACATCCTACATATCAGATATTTACATTATGATTAACTACAGTAGCAAAAATAATGAAGTTGCAATGAAAATAATGTTATGGTTGGGGGTCATCACAACACGAGGAATTGTATTAAGGGGTTTCAGCATTAGGAAGGTTGAGAAACGCTGGACGCTGGATAATGATGTTTATTATTCTTTGTCCCAGGAATTTCTATTTCTTTGCCAAAATGCTGGCAGTGTAATGTTTTCTTGGGTTGGTTGTCAGATAGTTATCTCATGTTATGGTGAATTGTATCTCTTTGCTTGTGTGTTTTGGGCAGTCCCCTCTTTCATGGAGCTTAATGAATCCAGATCTGGATAAACAAAGGAGTAGAGGACTAAGGAGTCCTGACATGATGGAGTAAGGAGACAGGATTAACTTGCTGACAGTTGGAGCCTGCAACAAAAGGCTGTAATGTGGGGCGTTCTCCCCTTTCCAGGATAGACCACCGTTCCCCATTCCCCTTCTGCTCCCTTCTGCCTGGCCGCCACATGCCTCGGTTTTCAATTGTGCTTAAATCCAGGATGTACAAACAAATCTATGATGGATCTATTTTACCCTTCTACAGTGTTGGGGATTTAATTTTAATCCAAAGGCAACATCCTTTGGGATTTATAAACAAAGCCATTGAGGTCTCTCCCAAAGGGGTTGAATGTGGAAGAGAGAGAAAAGGGAGCTTTCTCCATCCAATTCAAGTGATAAAACTGACAGCGGCCCTCAGGGCAGGATTAGTCACCTTGGAGACCAGGCTTTGAAAGAGAAAATGGAGGCTTTGGAAGACTTCCTCTTGACAAACAACAACAAGATTTCTGCCCAGTGTGCGTGAGGGTTCTGTGCCTTCAGGTCACCTGCTGACTTATGGCAGAGTCCATGAATTTTCATAGGGTTTTCTTAGGCAAGGAAAACACAGACAACTGTGTAGTTTCCAAAGGCTTTCAGGGCTGGAATCACTAGGTTGTCGTGAGTTTTCCAGGCTCTATGGCCATGTTCCAGAAGCATACTCACGTGACGTTTAGTCCACATCAATGGCAGGCATCCTTCGAGGTTGGAAACTAGACAAGGGAGGTTTATAGGTCCAGGGTGGGAGAAAGAACTCTTGTCTGTTGGAGGCAGAGGTGAATGTTGCAATTAATCCCCTTGATTAGCATCGAAAAGCTTGCATCTTCAAAGCCTGGCTGATTTCTGCCGGGAGAGAATCCTTTGTTGGGAGGTGTTAGCTGGCCCTGATTATTTCCTGTCTGGAATTCCCCTGTTTTCAAAATGTTCTTCTTTATTTCCTGTCCTGATTTTAGAGTTTTTAAAATACTGATGGCCAGATTTTGTTCATTTTCATGGTTCCCCCCTTTCTGTTGAAATTGTCCACATGTTTGTGGATTTCAATGGCTTCTTTGTCTAGTCTGGCATGGTAGTTCTGTGGAAGGCAGGTGTGACTGTTGCAATTCATCACCCTGAATAGCATTGAAAAGCCTGGCATTCTCAAGGCCTGGCTGATTCCTGCCTGGGGGAATCCTTTTTTGGGTGGTGTTAGCTGGCCCTGATTGTTTCCTGTCTGGAATTTGCATTTTCAGAGTGTTGTTCTTTATTTACTGTCCTGATTTTAGAGGTTTTTTAAAAAATACTGGTAGCCAGATTTTGTTCATTTTCATGGTTTCTTCCTTTCTGTTGAAATTGTCCACCTGCTTGTGTATTTCAATGGCTTCTCTGTGTAGACTGAAATAAAGAGCAACACTCTGAAAACATGGGTATTCCAGACAGAAAACAATCAGGGCCAGCTAACACCTCCCAGCGAACGATTTCCCTAGGCAGAAATCAGCCAGGCTTTGAAGATGCAAGCTTTTCTATGCTAATCAAGGTGATTAACATCCACACTTGCCTCCAACAGACAAGAGTTATTTCTCCCATCCTGGACCTTTCACAGATATATAAACCTTCCTTTCCCCATCTATAGTGTTCCCCTATGACACACTTTCCACCCATTTTAAACTGAAAGGCTGTCCTCACTGTCTTGGCTCCCCTCATTTGCATATTTCCTACTCCCACCTCACCCAGGGTTTTAGCATTTTTCTTTTCCATTTGGCCTGCCCACCCTATTCAATTTTATATTTGTTTTATTATTTCATTTTATTATTGTAATTTATTTATTTTTATTTTTCTGGATGTATTTTGTTTGCTATTTTGTATTTTACTGTGTTGTATTGTATTTTTAGAAGGGCTTGGCCTCATGTTAGCCGCTCTGAGTCCCCACTGGGGAGATGGTGGCAGGGTATAAATAAAGTTTATGATTATGATTATTATTATCATTGTCTAGTTTCCAATATACCTCACAACCTTCTGAAGATGTCTGCTATAGATGTGGGTGAAAAGTCAGGAGAGAATGCTTCTGGAACATGGCCATACAGTCCAGAAAACTCACCACAACCCTGTGTCATTTCCATTCTTAACCTGGCCTTTCTTCTAAAACTACTCAAAGCTGGTTCCTTTTTTGGCAAGAGTTGAGATATATTAGTTAAACTGACTCAGGAGTAAGTTGACTCAAGGTTTTGGAGTTTATCTCTTGACTGCATTTTCTAGACATATTCATAAGTATATACAGTAGCATTCTTACTATCCGGGACATTCAGACACTCGGAATATCCTTTTCATTTTGCTTTGAAATGTTGTGAATGTCTATTTTCCATCAGGGAAGCTAAACTCTTGGGGACTATTCCATGACATGGTTGGATGGTTCCGCCAATGTGTTAAACAAAGGTTTTTGTGTGCAATGTATCTTCATCTATCTATCTGGCTTGGTTGATCAAAAAAATATGGTTCAAAACTCGTTTCGGATGTAGGGCCGCTGGTGGTTCAATTCTAAAGTCAATTCCAATTTTCACAGAAAAAATGTTCAAAACTTTTCAAAACTTCCGAGACTTCCGAATCCTTTCCTTAATGGTTTGAAAGTGTTATTTCTTGTATCATTGGGTGGTCTTTACTTTGAAAGTAGTTGTTTAACTCCAGAAGCGGGGAAAAGCAAGCGGAGGAAATTCCTTCTTGTTCTGTTTTAAAACTGGCTTCTCTGGCTTTAAAACTGGCTTCTCGGGCTTGAGCCTAGGCCAGGGACCAGAAGTGGGGGAAAGCTGAATCATTTCCGACTCACTTCATGAGTCGTAACAAACATGGCGGAAAAAGCTTTGGAAGGGCAAAGGGACTTCCGGTTTTCTTAAAATCTTTGAAATTGCTTCAAAAAGGTAATTTTTCTGACTTTATTCCGTATTATGAAGATTCTGACAGTACCTAACCACGCCTTCTATCTATCTATTCACATTATACTTACCCTTCTTTTGTCTGCTATGCTTGTTTCCAGATACAGACTTAGGAGTTGGTGCACTGAAAGAAAATGAAGAGGAAGATGCCAGGACGTTGTCAGTCCCCAAAATATCTGGATTAGAACGGAGTCAAGAGAAGAGTCAGGACAGCGATAAAGATCAATTGCTTGACCCGGTTGTGCCTCAAAATCTTTGCCCTCAGGATTCTCAGCCTTTGATTCCTCCTCATTTGGAACCGTCGTCAGAGACACATTCTCCCAAACCTGCTGTTATCCAGCTATCGGAGCCTTCTAATCCTTCACAATCTGAAGCAACCCAGAAGCTTCAGAGCTCAGACGTGGACCAACATCCTCCGGTGCCTCCATCCCAAGTACAGCACCCACTGAGACCGCTTTCTTCTGGACAGCCAGCAAATCAGAGTCTGCCGTCATCCCAGCTGCGTCCTCCGTCCTGCAGTCTTGCACAACAGTTGTCATCGTATAACAGTAGCAGCTTGAGCCTCAACAGTTTGAGGTGAGGCCCTCATTGGTGTATCTGCTGCCTCTCTGGGGTCCCAAGGATTCGGCAAAGAGCCCATGTGTTCACTGAGTCATGTGTTTACTCAGGGATGAAGACCGTGTCCCCTCTGGGTTGCCAATTGGTTACCCTTTTGCCTAACACTCCTAGTAAGAAACACAAATCCCAGTTCCTCCCATTGTATATTTTCAAAGAATCACTTGTGATACAAACATAGAGGTATTAATATTTAAGGGAAAGAGTGTTGGGCGAGTGGGCTTATTGACAAAGACCCTCCTCATAAATGTATAGTAGAGTAATTTATCAGCAGCAGCATGACCCAGCACCAAAAGTGATCAAAAGAACAAAAACACACAGACCAATATTATCTGTTCCATAGGAAGCTTTTCTTTATAGCAAAATAATATCGTGGCACTATTTACAAAAACAAGCTTTCCACAACACAAATAAAGTTCAACCTTCATATTGGAGCTTCACACACGAGGCCTTCTCATAACGAGGCTTACCTCACACTCTGAGGCTTTCCTCTGACAGTGAGGCCTACTACCACTAAGGCCTATTCTCCCACTGAAGCCTTCTCTCATACAGAGAGGCTTTTCTCACACTGAGAGGTCTCTCAGCCTGGGGCGTTACTCTCAGACTTAGGCACACCTACTTATATTGAACCGCAGCTTCTCTGAGTCATTGCATCCATTTGACTCTTTCAATGCTTGACTCATATTTATGTAATTAAAAATACCCGTGTTCCATAACACAAATAAAGTTCAGCCTTTACACTGGAGCTTCACACATGAGGCCTTCCTCACACTCTGAGGCCTTTCTCCCACAATGAGGCCTCCTACCACTAAGGCCTGTTCTTCCACTGAGGCTTTCTCTCACACAGAGAAGCTCTCTCACACTGAGAGCTCTCTCAGACCAAAGTGTTTCCTGCATTGTTAGCCACCTTTAAGCTTCCTGGTGTTTTAGGCTGTCATGGTTTCTGGGCATCAGTGTTCCCCTGACATTGTTATTATCATTATTTCTCCTGAACAGCAGCAGCAGAAGCAGTACGCCCGCCAAGGCTCAGCCTCCTCCGCCTCCACCAGCCCTTCCACCTCCGCATATCGCCCACCACTCCTCAGCATCCCCCTTCCCCCTTTCCTTACCAAACCACAGCCCACTCCATACATTTGCTCCCACCCTCCAGCCTCCTACACACTCCCATCACCCCAATATGTTTGCCCCTCCTACGGCATTGCCCCCTCCTCCTCCTTTGACATCGGGGACGCTGCAGGTTCCAGGCCATCCTGCTGGAAGCGCTTACTCAGGTAAGGACCGAAATCGAATCTGGTCCAAGGGAAGCCATAGTCCCTCTCTGTTCTGCTTTGGTCAGACCCCACCTTGAGTAAGTCTGTGTCCGGTTCTGGTAATTACGGTTCTTGAAGGAGAAGGGCAAGGTGGAAGGGTGTTCAGGGAATCATAGAATCACAGAGTTGGAAGAGACCTCATGGGCCAACCCCCTGCCACAAAGCCGGAATATTGCATTCAAAGCACCCCTGACAGATGGCCATCCAGCCTCTGTTTAAAAGCTTCCAAAGAAGGAGCCTCCACCACACTCCGGGGCAGAGAGTTCCACTGCTGAACGGCTCTTACAGTCAGGAAGTTCTTCCTAATGTTCAGATGGAATCTCCTTTCTTGTAGTTTGAAGCCATTGTTCCGTGTCCTAGTCTCCAAGGAAGCAGAAAACAAGCTTGCTCCCTCCTCCCTGTGACTTCCTCTCACATATTTATACATGGCTATCATATCTCCTCTCAGCCTTCTCTTCTTCAGGCTAAACATGCCCAGCTCTTTCAGCCGCTCCTCATAGGGCTTGTTCTCCAGACCCTTGATCATTTTAGTCGCCCTCCTCTGGACACATTCCAGCTTGTCAATATCTCTGACTAAAATGAGGGAGGACCATTTAGCATGGGGAAAAGAAGATTAAGACAGATGGCCCTTGTAGCCTCTTCCAACTCGAATATGATACTATTTATTTATTTATTTATTGGACAATGTTTTTAACTAGGAGACACTAATGATACATTTTTTTATTGATTTTACTAGGTTTTATATGATTTTAATGCTTTTAATTGTATTTTATGGTTTTGGTACCAACTATAAACGGCCCCGAGTTGCCTGCGGGCTGAAAGGGACAGTATATAAATATAGTAAGTAAGTAAGTAAATAAATACATTTACAGCATTTATATTCTGCCCTTCTCATCCTGAAGGGGACTCAGACAAGCTCCCACTTCCACAAACAGTTATAGCTCCTCAGGAGACATCAATGGCCCTCTCTCCAATGTAAACATGTCCAAGAGCCCTGCCAATGTCCCCCATAAACACCACCCAAGTTAAGGCTCTTATTCAGGGACAATTCCATCCTAGATTTTATGTGTTTCCTCCACCACAGACATCTCAGTATTTCTTACTCTCTCCATTGGTGTGGAATTTGCAATATTCCACCCACTGCCTCTCCCTTCACCCTTTCCTATTCTTTTCTATGCCACACAGCAAACAGAGGAATTGATTAGTAACTGAATATACTAGAGAGGTCTGGGGAGAATTCACCATGATTTAGAGGAGTTGTAGGTCCTGGGATGTATAGTTTGCCTGCAATTTGAGAACACTCTGAACTCCACCATCGATGGACCTGGAACTAACTTGGTACACAGAATCCCCATGACCAATAAAAAATACTGGAGGTCTTTGATTGGATTTACCTATATCCAGAGCACACTATGAATCCAAACAATGATGGATCTGGACCAAACCTGGCATGCATACCCAATATGCCCAACTTTGAATACTGATGGGTTTGGAGGGGAATTGGCCTGGACATTTTGGAGTTGTAGGTACTGGTTTTTTTAAAGTTCACCTGCAATCAATGAGCACTCTGAACTCCATCAAAGATGAAACTGGACTAAACTTGGCACACTGAAAAGGACTGTAATGTTGTTGCTTTGCCTTTCAGAGCAAGACCTTCTCCGCCAGGAACTCAACACTCGATTTCTGGCTTCCCAGAGCGCGGACCGTGGTGCCTCGCTGGGTCCGCCACCCTACCTGAGGACCGAGTTCCACCAACATCAGCATCAGCACCAGCACACGCACCAGCACACGCACCAGCACACCTTCACCCCTTTTCCCCACGCCATCCCGCCCACCGCCATCATGCCAACGCCAGCACCTCCCATGGTGCGTACCCCAGGCAGAAATGTGAGGATAAGTAGAGCACAACTCTCTTTTGTTGCAAAGGTTCTTGTCGTGACTCGAAATGCATTCTGGGAGAAAGTGTTGACTTGCCTGAAGGGGGAGAACCAACTCGAGACCTTTGGAAAGGCACATGGGATAGTTCTTTGGGAGGCTTTGTCTCTGGGTGTGGAGGTTGGGAAGGGGGCCAAAGTTTAGCTATGAATTCAGATGTTGTGTTGTCGAAGGCTTTTATGGCCGGATTCACTGGGTTGTGTAAGTTTTCCAGGCAGTCTCGCAATGTTCCAGAAGCATTCTCTCCTGACATTTTACCCACATCTAGGGCAGGCAGCCTCAGAGGTTGTGAAGTCTTTTGGAAACTAGGCAAGTGAGGTTTACATATCTGTGGAATGTCTGCTTGAGGCAGGTGTGAATGTTGCAATTGGCCACCTTGATTAGCATCGAATAGCCTTGAAACTTCAAAGCCTTGCTGATTGCTGCCTGGGGATCCTTTGTTGGGAGGTGTTAGCTGGACCTGATTGTTTCCTGTCTAGAATTCCCCTGCTTTTTTAGTGTTCCTCTTTATTTACTGTCCTGATTTTGGAGGCAAGTGTGAATGTTGCAATTGGTCAACTTGATTAGCATCGAGTAGCCTTGCGGCTTCAAAGCCTGGCGGCTTCCTGCCTGGAAAAACTGGGAATTCCAGACAGGAAACAATCAGGGCCAGATAGTACTTCCTAACAAAGGATTCCCCCAGGCAGGAAGCAGCCAGGCTTTGAAGCTGCAAGACTATTCAGTGCTAATCAAGGTGGGCAATTGCAACAGTCACACCTGCCTCCAACAAGCAAGAGATTTTTCTCCCACCCTGGACATTATTCCACAGATATATATGCCAGAAATATTAAAACTTAACTAGGTATTTTCAATTACAAAATGTGAGTCAAGCACTGAAAGGGTTAAATGAATGCAATGACATCAAAAGCTGCAGTTCAATATAATGCATGTGTGCTTGGAGCTTAGAAGTCTCAGTATGAGAAAGCCTCAGTGTTAGTTTGCCTCAGTGTGAGAGAGGTGTCAGTCTGAGACAGACTATAGTTCTTTCTCCCACCCTGGACATTATTCCATAGGTATATAAACCTCACTTTCCTAGTTTCCAACAGACCTCACAACTTCTGTTGATGCCTGCCATAGATGTGGGTGAAATGCTTCTGGAACATGGCCAGACAGCCTGGAAAACTCACAGCAACCCAATTCAGACATTACTATGGTGTGATTATCTTCAATTCTCCAGGACCAAGATCCTTGAATTCTACGAATCAGTGAAAAGTATTTGTGCTTCTTGCAAACATGGATACTTACTAATTTGGTCAAGTTTTGCTCCCACACCATCAAGCTTTTCAGGGCTTCTCCAGTATCCCCCTTTTCAAACATAGAGGCAGTATGTTCCCCATACAATGATTAGAATGTATTGATTTGTGGTGTCAGATTTCTGTAACAATGCAAATGTATGTTCAGAACAAGACAAATTCATGGGACTCAGAAATAATACTATGTAATTCCCACTTTTTTTAGAGCTGGACTATGCAGCCCTTGGGGACTGTGGGGCAAGGCAAAAAAAAAAATGGCCTCCATGTAGCCTCAGATCAGTAAACATGAATTTCTTGAGTGGTGTCAAACTGCATTAAATCTACAGTGAGGATGCACCCCATTTCATGGATGAGGGCAGGGCCAGTACAGGGCAAACATAATTTGCACAGAAAGATTTGTTTCTGACCCTCTTTTCCGTCTTTCAGTCATTCCTGTCTTGGATATTGTCATTATTATTACTATTATTACTGTTATTATTCTGCTGACACCCATTAGATAGGCCGCCTGTCAGACTTAGCTGCTGAATCATACCACATAATGAGTTTGTGTTTCAATCCTTTTGCAGTTTGACAAATACCCTACAAAAGTTGACCCTTTCTACCGTCACAGTGTGAGTTTTCAAAAATGTATATCCATTGCTTTTCTTCAGTGGCAAGATCTTCACCCAGTCAGTGTCACTCATTCCTATTCATGTCCATTTGTCTTGTCATTGGTTTTAGCTTTTGGCTGATTTCGTGGTTTAAAATGTCATATTATATATATGGATGATGGATGTGTGTGTGCTGATCTGGTACTGATTGAATGAATGCAAAGACTCAGCAAAAGCTGCAGTTCAGTATAATGCAGGTGTGTTTGGAGCTTAGTAGGCCGCTGTCTATGAGAAGTCTTTGTGGAAGAAGGGCATCAGTGTGTTGGTAGGCCTCAGTATGAGAAAGCCTCAGTATGTGTGGTTATGTGTGTGTGTGTGTGTGTGTGTATATATATATATATATGAATGAGAGAGTCCCCGGTGGTGCAGTGGGTTAAACATCAATAATAACAATAACAACGTTTATTGTTGTTGTTCTTTTCCTGCCTTTTATCTTTTAATAGAGACCCAAAGCAGCTCACATCAATAATATTATGATCATTATTATTCTTATTATAATAATAAAGTGGCGCAGTGGGTTAAGCTGCTGAACTTGCTTACTGAAAGGTTGCAGGTTCCAATCTGGGGAGCTGCATGAGCTTCCGCTGTTAGCCCCAGCTTCTGCCAACCTAGTAGTTCAAAAACATGCAAATATGAGTATATCAGCAGGTACTGCATCGGCGGGAAGGTAACAGCGTTCCATCCCGGCCACATGGCCTTGGAGGCGTCTGCGGATAACGCCGGCTTAGACTTAATGTCAAGGGGAAGCCTTTACCTTTACCTTATGCATATCCAAATACAGGTATTCAAACATCCAGATTACTTCTGGTTCCAACCATTTTGAACAAGGTTTGCTCACCGTGTACTACTAAATCATATTTATTTAACTGAGACGCAAAGGGACGTGAACCGTGTGGTTCATAAAAAATTCTTGTTAAAGGAACACCATGTTTCTGTTGGCTCGTACTTCATCATATGCCTCCCATTTTCTTGAATGAACGATTGTCGCCAGGCACATTATTTGTTCATTGTGTCGTCTCACTTTCCATGAATGTATCGTTCAGTAGGCCTGCTCTCACTGAAATCTTTGTGTTTTCATAGTTATACATATAAGCTTTTCTGTTGCCCGTCATTAATTATCATTCTTCAGTAGTCCATAAGGACTTTTGTATAACTGGGTCATCAAGAGATTAATGGAAGCGGCCTTGCAAATAGAGAGTGCTGTATGCTCATGTTTCAGAAATCTTAGTAGAAATCAGGTTACAGATCAGGGTCAGCCAATCCTGTCATGCTATACCATGACTCCAAGGAATCATATCCTTCTCTAGAGTGGCGAAAGGTGAGAGCTTAGAATTCCTGGGAGAACCTAAAAGGAGCGTCAACTCCCTCTATTCTCTCTGCTATGGTGCTGTTTCTGTACTTTTTGATCCATCTCTAAGCCAACTTATCCATTGTTCATATCAAAAAATTCATAATTTTGGCCCCCGAAACGTGCCTTTGACGTATACATGATATTGGCTAATACATGAGTATATACAGTAGTTAATAAACTGCCTCCACCTCATGTTGACATTAGGAATATTTATATGCATATGTTTGTATGTATGTATTTATGTATATATATATAATATATGGCCCTCTGGTGGCGCAGTGGGTTGAACTGCTCAGCTGCTGAACTTGCTAACCAAAAGGTTGGCGGTTTGAATCCAGGGAGCGGGGTGAGCTCCCACTGTTAGCCCCAGCTTCTGCCAACCTAGCAGTTAGAAAAGATGCAAATGTGAGTAGATCAATAGGTACCACTTCAGCAGGAAGGTAATGGCACTCCATGCAGTCATGCCGGCCATGTGACCTTGGAGGTGCTAACGGACAATGCCGGCTCTTCGCGTTAGAAATGGAAATGAGCACCAACCCTCAGAGTGGGACATGATTACACTTAATGTCAGGGGAAACTTTTATCATATATATATATAGTGAGAGAGAGATTGAGAGAGAGAGAATGGGAGAGGAGTATTTGGGGTCCTTGACTCATGTTGGCCTTCTTTTTGTCATAGTTATTCCACTCCTACCCTCCGGCTGTATCAGGGATCCCTCCTATGATTCCTCCGACGGGTCCTTTTGGCTCGCTCCAAGGAGCATTTCAACCCAAGGTAAAGGGCATTTGTGTTGCATATATTTTGTACTTGTTTGTTGCATTGTGTGTAATTATGATGTAAATTACAGAGACCTGTTTCCTAACTTTTGTTCCTCTGAGAGATCAGAGATGGGAGGGAGTTGCAACCAAACTTTTAGGCCCCAGGTTGGGTGCCAGTATTGTAGACCAGAGTAAGCTCCATGCATCCTGCAGCCACCCCAGAGCTGATTCACGCACCATTTGGGATATTGGATCAGTGTAGATTGCCCACAACTTTCCAGTGTATGTGTGTGTGTGACTTGAGGGAGAACTTGAAAGGGAATGAAGAAGCGGTTGCTTTAGATATTCTGGGAGGCATAAGGGAAAGTAAAGAAAACTAGGCAGGAGCATTTCAGATAGCTGGAGACCTTAGAAAGGAAGAGCTGGATGAATTATTGTTGCTGGAAGGAGGGGAAAGCCATGGACAGCTTTGATGCTTGTACATAATATGAGAACAGAAAGCTACTGAAGGGGTTTAGGGAGATGAACCACATACTAAGAATGACAAGAGAAGGAAATACTTTTGGCAGTAAGGCCGCTGGATGAAGATAATAGAAGACCTGAGAGAGCAAGAGTGCAGTATCCAAGGCAAGAGGCATTGGGCCAGAGCATGACGGGGCGTCTTTGGAAGGAGAATAAATCATACTTTTTGAAATGTCAGGGGAGAAGTGATGTGAGGTGGTGACATAATGGACGCAATCTGAGCTACCTTTGTCCAGTGTGTCAAAATCTCATGCTATCACTGCTACACAGCTGAGCTGCTTGAATATGCAGAATGCGGTTCATTAGTTGAGGTTTTCATATATATGCTAATCAGTGCGTTAAGAACCTTTTTTGAGCTCAATTATCCACTGCACAAGGGTGAGATGTATTTGTTTAATATCACATTCTACGAAACTTTCTCAAGTAGCAGTTTTGCCATTCTGATAAAAAATCTTTCCATTTTGGAAAGAGATTAATTTGTGGGTTTAGTGGTATAGATGTGCATGTGTTGCATAGGATTCCACTGAATTACAATAAGGTTTTTGTAGAAGTCAGGGATGGGACCTTACGTGTGGCCCAGAACACCTTGAATGCACCCCAACACCAAATCATCAACTTACTTAAAATATTACAATCTTTTTAAAAGTGCAACTCGACAGCACGGTTCTCAAACGTGAACTTCGTAGACAATAGGATAGAATAATCAGAGTATGTTATAATGTATTGTCAAAGGCTTTCACCTCACAACCTCTGAGGATGCTTGCGATAGATACAGGTGAAATGTCAGAATGCTTCTAGAACAAAGCCCGAAAAACCTACAACAACCCAGAGTATGTTATGTCTACAAATATCAGTGTATCGGTGTATTATCCTAATTCTCACCATAATTAGTCATGTACATTCAGGACTTACCTTGATCTGTTTAGTGTCCAGGCTTTTGGAGGAGGCCCCAATCTGTTTTCGTCTGAGCCTCCAGAAATTGGGAGGCCAGATATTTGTTTTTTGTTTTCGGGGCTGAAAGATCCATTTTTTTGGCCCTTTTTTGAGGGGGGCTTCACCTGTAGGGCCAAAGTGCCCGGGCCTATGGGTGCAAGCTTTGGCCCTATGCGCTCAGGCCTGGGAGGGCCTGCAGCAAAGCGCTGAGTAAGGAGTGCTCCTTACTCAGCGCTCAGCTGCAGGCCCTGCCAGGCCTCAGGCAATTGATCCGAAAAGCAGGCTTGGAGCTGGTACCCGCTCCCACTTGCTTTTAGTTTTGATTGCATTTTCTTTCCAGGAGGGACCTTTTTTTTGTGCCATCCAAATGGACGAACAAAATGGAAACATGAATCAAACGAATGGGACAAATGTCAGGCCCATGACTAACTATAACTGCAAACAGTTCAGCCAGAAGGCAAGAGATTTTGGGGGGGGGGGAGATTTGGGGTGATAATTTGCTAAATTATATGGTTCATTATGGTCATATTCCCTCATCTAACTCACATGAGGGTTGTCCATCAGGGCAACCAAGGTAAACTTGGCTCCAAGCTGAAATGGATCTAAGATATACTAAAAATTATCCCAAAGCTTCTGGAGTACTGCATAACATGAATTGTCATCATCAGATCTATCTATACACACAATAAAAGTGGAAATATGTATGTGTGTATGTGGCTGAAGTGTCCTCTTTCACAGACAGGCTCCCGCTTCTACAAACAGCCATAACCCACACCTATGAGGAGCCACCAATGGCCCTCCCTCCAATGACATTGCAGGTTATAGTGAGCGCCATGTAAATGTACAAGAACTGGCAAAGCCCTCCACAAACACCATACTGCCCACCACCCAAGTGAAGGCATTCATACGGGGACAATTACATGCTAGATTTTATGTTTTTCCTCCACCACAGACATGCCAATCTTTCTGACGCTCTACATTGGTGTGGAATTTGCATGACCCCGCCCACTGCCCCTCCCCTAACCCTTTCCTATGACAAAAAGCAAACAGAGAGGAGTTGATCAGCAACTGAACATACTAGAGGGATTTGGGAGCCTGACTCAAAATGATGGAAGTTGTAGTTCACCCTGCATCAAGTCAGAGCACTGTGACCCCACTGATGATGGATCTTGAATTTTGGGAGTTAAAGTTCACCTGCATCCAGGGAAACTGTGACCCCCACCGACAATGGACTGGGACCAAACTTGGCACAGAGAAGCCCCATGACCAACTGAACATACTGCAGGAGTTTATCGGAATGGACCTTGATTTTGGAAGTTGAGTTCACACTTATCCAAAAAGCACTGAACACAGCTGTTGTGAGATCTGGACCAAACCTGGCACACAGATGCAACATGGCCAGCTGTGCATATAGGCAGGGTTTGGGGTCATTGACCTTGGGTCTTGGAATTTTAGTTCACCCTTATCCATAGAGCACTGAACCCAGCTGACAAATAACCCAGCCGATAAATGCCCTTTTCAAATAACCGGAGCATCACCGGGTCCCTAAGTTAGTAGTAATAACATTAAGAGATCTTTGAGTACTATGAAACACTGTTTGAAGCCTGCTTATTAATGTGCTGAACGACTCTTTGTACCTGTATGTTTTGCATATACAGACTTCGAATGCTATTGACGTCACGACCAGACCTGGAGCTGTCCCACATACCCTTCTGCAGAAAGATCCACGGGTAAATCCTATCATTTTGTCACTCCTAAAAGTAAATTAAATTCTAAGCATTCATTCTAAGATGCATCCAGCTCTCCCCTGTCCCTCTCCCATATACAAGAATCCCAGTGGAATGGTTTCATTGACAGAATTTTCATTTATTTTTCCTCTCTCTTTCTTTCTACAGTTGACTGATCCATTCAGGCCCATGTTGCGGGTAAGAAGGTTAAACCTTATTTAACCTCAGTCTGCCATTCCCAATGAGTTAACTTTGGGGATTACCTCTGAAATTCTGTCACTCATATTACTTTTTGGGTTACCTGGTTTTGCTGGTCAAAACGTGCAACAAATGAGGGGAATTTCTTCCCCCTCCTCACCTTATCTTCCTAACTTCCGTGGGTATAGCTTCCATCTTTGAATTCCTTTCAGTCTTTCCTCTCCCCGAATCCCCCTTCTGTTGCAGTTCAGGTTACAAAATTGCAACAGCATTGATAAAACAGTGTCAAAACATTTTAATGTCAAACTTTGGTCTGTTGTTACAGTTATAATTTCCATCCGTTTTTGCATTTTCTTCTTTTTCATAGAAACCAGGGAAGTGGTGTGCTATGCATGTCCACATTGCATGGCAGATATACCATCATCAGCAGAAAGTAAAGGTGAGTATTGTGGTCATAACACACTTAAAAGCCTTGTGGGTGTTGTATGTCAGCCTGGTCAGCCTGTGATTGTGTCTGATGTTCATGTTGATGTTGGTGGGAATGGGGATGATGTTCTTGATGGTGGGCTTGGATCTGTTGGCAATGGAGATGAGGGTTTGCTTGGGCCTGAGTTAAGCACAGAAGAGAGGTCTCAGATGTTTCAGGAAGATTCATAAGGCCACATTCTTTGGGAGAGGCCCTTCACAGCTTTTCTCAGAACAACAGTCTGAAAATGATTTGTCAGGTGTAGAAGTTAATGAGGGAGAAGATAATGAAAGCTTGGACAGAAACAAAGTTTTAGTAAATAGGGACAAAGTCTTCAGAGACTGAGACGATCAGTTCATCTACAGTAAAAGAGAGTTAGCAAATATCTAGTGGGAAGGGATCTGAAAAAGCTTTATAATGATTCATGGGAAAGAATTGCCTCAGTCTGGTCAACGCTATCACGGCCTTGCTTTCAAGTGCTCTGAGTTTCATGTACCAAATTTTTGCCAAGCTTAAGATTTTTTTTATGAGATTTTCCTGCTGTCTTGTTTCTTGGATTCAACTGCCTAGTTTCATGGATTTTTATGTACTCATGGATCTTGTTTTCTTTGAAGCTTATGGGCTATTTTCTACATTAGATCTTTACTATATTTGCTATTTTTTATTGCTTTGCCTACATATTTTCTTCAATAAACTGCTTGCTGATTTTACCAAGCTGCTGTGACGTTTAAGGTCAGAGGTGGCATACAATAGTGGACATTTGTAGGAAAGATTTATTTAGCAAGTTTTTAAAAGTCCGGTTTATGCTCTACTTCTTCAGAGTACAACGTTACCCATAAATCTGCAGTCATATTGTGCCTTTAAGGATTGGGGTCAGGAGGCGATTCAATTCAGAAAATTATATGAATGGCAACCATAGACAATCAGCACAGATATTTTTTGCTACTGTTAAAGAACACTAAGAAGGCAGCTTTCCTTGTTGCAGTCAGCTCCGGGAGGCAAGCAAGTGAACTTATGGTGTCTGTGTGATGAAACATTTCTTGTGTTCCACCAGAGTAAAGGGTTATTACAACAGACAATGCATACCGTATATACTCAAGTATAAGCCACATTTTCAGTCCTTTTTTAGGCTGAAAATGCCTAAAAGTTATTTATTATTTTTCTCTGTCATTATTATTATTTTGTTATATTTATTGCTTTATTCTATTTATTATTATTGTATTTCCATTATTTTACTCAATTATTTTTTTTTATTTATTTCATTTGTATGCCTCTTTTCTCAGCCCTTAGGCTGAGAAAGCGGTTAACAATAGCAAAAATTCAATGCTAAACATCATAAAAACAGTTTAAAAACAATTAAAGCAATAACATAATATATTTATTTATTACATTTATTATTCTACTCTATTATTACTGTAACTATTACATTTCCATTATTTTACCCTATTATAGTAGAGTCTTGCTTATCCATCCTTTGCTTATCCGACATTCTTTTTTTTAAGTAGGCCTTATAATTAGCAATTCAGCAAAACCTAGGTCTTATTTTCAGGGGATGTTTTATTTTTGGGGAAACAGGATAGTGTTGGTGGGCCTCACCGTCCGAGAAAGGCCTCAGTGTGCGAGATAGGCCTCATTATGAGAAAGCTTCGTGTGTGAAGCTCCAGTGTGAAAGTTGAACTTTATTTGTGTTATGGAAACCTTGTTTTTGTAAATAGGCCTTATATTTAGCAATTCAGCAAAACCTCTACTTGGTCTTAATTTCAGGGGATGTCTTATTTTTGAGGAAACGGGGCAATAATGTAAACATAGATTTGCACTACTAAGCCTCATTGACTGTGAGCCAGGACTGAATCCAAGGATATTGGGATGGTAGAAACTCTTTAAGAAGTTAAGGACAGACAGCAATCATTTTTTTTAAAAAAAGAGGGACAGAAATATGGCAACCCTAAACTCAACTGTTCTGTTCTGACTTACAGAAGCAGATGCAGTCGGATCCCCACAAACTGGACTTCGGCCTGAAACCTGAATTTCTGAGTCGACCGCCGGGTCCGAGCCTCTTTGGAGCGATCCATCATCCTCATGACTTGGCTCGACCTTCAACCCTCTTCTCTGCAGCCAGTGAGTGTGCAAATGGCTAATTTGTGATTTTTTTACGCACAGCCTGCGCTGAGCAAAGAAAGCTGCGCATTCTCTTTTAAAGGTTCTCCGAGTCCCCTTTGTTTTAATTGTTTGGGTTTTTTTCTTTTCTCTTTTGAATTTATTATGGTAGGCGCTGCCCACCCCGCCGGCCCCCATTTCGGACCCCCGGCCCACCACAGCAACTTTCTCAACCCAGCGGCCCATTTAGGTAAGTTGCGCTGATCTATAAAGCAGACGTGTTGATGCTCCAATCATATGTGGGGACATTTCTGACAATTCAGGCCATGGTCTGGAATAATATAGTGCAGTCACCTTCTTGGGCAGGGCCTAGGTCTGGTCTGGGCCTGGATGGGACTCCAGTTGAGAATACTCTCAGTCCTGCATTCCATTCTGGAGGAAAGGTAGGATATGATCAGTGTCCTGACTCAGACACAACTGGGATGAGTTTGCAACTGCAGAAGGGAAATGAGAATATTATTCATGAAATTATTACCATCATCATCAACAACAACATTACTAAATGGCATCATGGTGACCGTCCATTACTGCAAACTCGGTCTTCAAGTAAACCGCAAACTAGGCCCCTTAGAGCAGTGGTTCTCAACCTGTTAGCTGGCCCTGATTGATTCTTGTCTGAAATTCCCATTTCTTGTTACTCTATATTTATTGTCCCAGTTCAACAGAAAGGAGGAACCATGAAAATGAACAAAATCTGGCTACCAGTATTTTAAAAAACTCTAAAATCAGATCTGTAAATAAAGAGGACCACTAAAAAAGGCAAATGGGAATTCCAGAGAAGAATCAATCAGGGCCAGCTAACACCTCCAAACAAAGGATTTCCCCCAGGCAGCAACCCGCCATGCCTTCAAGCTGCAAGGCTATTCAATGCTAATAAAGGTGGTCAATGGGCAACATTCACACCTGCCTCCAACAGACAAGAGTTCTTTCTCCCACCCTGGACATCATTCCACAGATATATAAACATCACTTGCCTACTTTCCAACAGACCTCACAACCTCTGAGGATGCCTGCGATAGATGTGGGCGAAATGTCAGGAGAGAATGCTTCTGGAACATGGCCAGACAACCCGGAAAGCTCACAGCAAGCCACTGTTAGGACCGTTTTGAGTCATGTCTTCCAGACTGGAAAGAGATCGGTCTTATTTCAGCAAGATGATAGTATTGGATAAGGTCATTGGTAAAGTAGATTCCTGTGTTCCAAGGAAGGAAGGAAAGAGGGAAGGAAGGAAGAAAAGAAAGGGAGGAGGAAAGGAAGGAAGGAAGAAAAGGAAGGAAGGGAGAAAAAAAAAGGAAAGATGGATGGAAGGAAGGAAGGAAAAAAGAAAGGAAGGAAAGGGAGGGAGGGAGGGAAAGGAAAGAAGGAAGAAAGAAAGAAAAAAGGAAGGAAGGAAAGGAAAGAAACAAAGAAAAGAGAAAGGAAGGAAAGAGGAAAGGAAGGAAGGAAGAAAAGAAGAAAAGATGGATGGATGGATGGATGGAAGGTAGGAAGGGAGAAAGGAAGGAGGGAAGGAAGGAAGGAAGAAAAGAAAGGAAGGAGGAAAGGAAGGAAGGGAGAAAAAAGGAAAGAAGGAAGGGAAAAGAAAGAAGGAAGAAAGAAAAAAGGAAGGAAGGGAGGGAGGAAGGAGGGAAGTAAAGGGGGAAGGAAAGAAAAAATGAAAGAAGGAAGAAAGAAACAAGGAAGGAAGGAAGGCAAGAGGGAAAGAAGGAAGAAAAAAAAAGGAAAGAAGGAAGGAGGGAGGGAGGGAAGGAATTAAGTCCTGCAGTCCTTAAACAGGAAAAAATACCCCTAGCAATATAATCCTGAATTTAGAATGGTTGATCCCTGTATAGCCAGTTACTTTATCTGATATGTACATTAGAACGGATTTGATGGAAGAGAGGGTCCTCCCTGTAGAGAGTTCAGTTTGTACACCATTCATTACGGAGGATTAATTCCTGCCTTCAGAAAAAATCCTGTCAGTTTAGCACTTAACTATGTTCATTTTCCCCTTCTGGGTGTTGTATGAACACGCAAGAGCAAGAATAAATGGGGAGGATGTTGGAGGGCTTTGTTGCATTTCTTTAGGGCATGTGCTGACATTCCAACTTACAGAAGGGAAAAAGAAGTTGCATCGCATGCAAGGATAATGGAATGCAACCAAGGAGAATGGCCCCACTTGTCCTTACATTTGTGGCCATGGAGTATAATATCGAATTAGAACTATAGAAAGGGCTACTTAGAATAAACCCGCAACACACTCACTTATGGCAATCGATAGTCCTCCGTCATAGGAAACGCCCTTCCCATTAGCATCTCTCCGTTTGGTTTCAGAGACTTTTAATCGGCCCACCACATTCACCAGTCTCGCAGCTGTGAGCAGCAATGCCTTCGGGGGACTCGGGAACCCTGCTGTTAGTGAGTAATTTTTCCTCCAGCCCTGGCTGGGTTGGGCTTCGGTTCTAGAGAAACATCTAGAGCAGTGTTTCTCAACCTTCTTCATGCTGCAACAGTTCTTCATGTTATGGTGACCCCCAACCATAACATTATTTTCGTTGCTATTTCATAACTGTCATTTTGCTACTGTTATGAATCGTAATGTAAATATCTGATATGCAGGATGTATTTTCATTCACTGGACCAAAATTGGCACAAATACCCGATACGCCCAAATTTGAATACCAGAGAGGTTGACGGCGGGATTGATTTTGTCATTTGGGAGTTGTAGTTGCTGGGATTTATAGTTTGCCTACAATCAAAGAGCATTCTGAACTCCACCAATGATGGGATTGAACCAGACTTGGCACACAGAACTCCCATGACCAAGAGAAAATACTGGAAGGGTTTGCTGGGCATTGACGTTGAGTTTTGGAGTTGTAGTTCACCTACATCCAGAGAGAACTGTGGACTCAAACAATGATGGATCTGGACCAAACTTGGCATGGATACTTAATATGCTCAAACGTGAACACTGGTGGAGTTTGGGGAAAATAGATCTTGACATTTGTGAGTTGTAGTTGCTGGGATTTATAGTTCGCCTACAATCAAAGAGCATTCTGAACCCCACCAACGATAGAATTGGGCCAAACTTCCCACACAGAACCCCCATGCCTGAAGGGACTCACCCTCTCCCTCACCCTTACATGCGAGCATGCCTGCTCTCCCCTCCCTGGTTGGAGTCTCAGAAGCAGCCCTCCACTTAGCTGAGATGCCAGCCAACAACAGCAGAGGAGGGCTTTTGGTGGGACGATTCACCATCTGTTTCCAAAAATGGAAGAGAAGGACAGGCGGAGAGATCTTCAGCCTTCTCTGCCAAAGGGGTTCCTAAGACCATCAGAAATATCTGTTTTCTGATGGCTTTTGGCGACCCCTCTGAAACCCCCTTGTGACCCCCCCCCCAGGGGTCCTGACCCCAGGTTGAGAAACGCTGATCTAGAGTTCTACAATTACAGCCAAAGTTTACAGAAGCTCTGTAGGAAAGAGACATGACCCATGAGACCAAATGGATGGAAGCAGAAGAGAAGAAATAGCAAGGATGAGGTTTTGCTGAACTCAGGTCGTACTGGACTTACAAGAAGCATGTTTGGGTGGTTTCCCCTCCCCTGCGGTGACACCAAAATGAATTTTGCTGCAGCAATGATAGCAGAAAGAAACACAATTGGGGACCATGGAGAGTGAGTGATGGTGCATTGCTCTTTTAGATCTTGCAATCTCTATTGTTGTCAAACCAAGTCCCCGCCACCCACATCCAGAAACTATGATCAATAGTAGCATTTCCATCTAGTGATTAGAGCAGCTTTCCAGAACCTTTCAAGGTGTTGGCAGTTCTTTACAAATCTCATAAAAACAATATTAAAAATTATAAAAACCACACAAAAATTGAATTAAAGAAAAAATCTATTGGGTTGCTGTGAGTTTTTCAGGCTGTATAGCAGTTCTCTCCTGCCGTTTCGCCCACATCTATGGCAGGCATCCTCAGAGGTTGTGAGGTCTGTTGGAAACTAGCCAAGTGAGCTTTACATTGTTGGGCGAGTGGGCTTATTAACAAAATACCTTCCTCATAAATGTACAGCAGAGTAACTTATTGACCCAGCACCAGTAGTCAAAAGTGATAGAAGAACAAAAACACACAGTCCAATGTTATTTCTTCCATAAGAGGCCATTTTTATAGCAAAATAATATGGCTGCACTATTTACAAGAACAAGGTTTCAATAACACAAACAAAGTTCTTTATACTTTCCTTCGTTGAACAGCTTCCATGCTGATCTTCTTTCTCATGCAGATAAACAGCTTAGCTCTCACAGAGCCTCATCTCATACCAAAGTTACACAGGCGCTCACACAGTAGCTTTTTACACACAGCAGCCTTCACACATGATGCCCTATAACCTGGGGCTCCTCTCACCGATGCTTCTCACATCAGGCGTATTAACAATGAGGCCTACTAACACTGAGGCCTTCTCACACTGAGGATTCTCTCAGACTGAGGCGAACTAACACTGAGGCCTTCTTATACTGAGGCTTATGAACACACTGAGGCCCTTCTTCCACAGAGACCTCTCACAGACTGAGGCCTACTAAGCTACAGGCACAATTGCAGCATTCACACTTGCCTCAAGCAGACAAGAGTTCTTTCTCTGGACATTATTCCATAGATATATAAACCTCACTTGCCTAACAGACCTCTCAACCTCTGAGGATGCCTGCCATACATGCAGGCAAAATGTCAGGAGAGAATGCTTCTGGAACATGGCCATACACCTAGAAAACTCACAACAACACATTGCATATCATCTGGTTTGTACTCGACAACAACAAGAATAGCCCGACAGCCCAGAAAACCCGCAGCAATCCAATTATCCTGGCCATGAAAGCCTTCGACAACACAAAAAAAGTCTTGTCTTGGTATTTCATAAAGTCAATCTCTACTCTGGGATATTTACATATTGTGCCTCATTTCCCACTATCCTATAAAATGTTCCTTCAGAATTAAGTTTCTATTATTATTATTATTATTATTATTATTATTATTATTATTATTATTATTATTATGTTCCTGTTGTCATTTTCTGCCATCGAAGATCCTGTTGTTATCAGTTACTGATTGTAAGACGCCGTGATTGCAGACACGGTCCTCTTCAGAAAATATGGCAACACTCAAGTTAAATCAGTTGCCTTCCTCCTGTTCCGAACGCTAAATGCTAATGCTTATTTATTAATCTCCTTTCCTTTTCCAGCGATCCATAACATGTATTCATTTTAAACTCTGAGTGCTGTAAAAAAATTAAAATCATTGATTTTGATTGGTAAGTACCGTCAACTGAGCGTATCACTTTCTCCCACCCACTTCGCCATTTCAGCACCCAACGCTATGTTCGGCCACAAGGATTGCCCCAGTATGCAGAGCTTTAGCAACCCTCATGAGCCCTGGAACCGTCTGCACCGAACTCCTCCTTCGTTCCCGACCCCTCCGCCCTGGCTGAAGCCAGGTGAGCTGGAACGCAGTACCTCTGCGGCAGCTCATGAGCGAGATAGAGATCTAGATAAAGGAGACTCTTCTCTTAATAAAGAGGACAAAGAAAGGTATGGAAGAACGCTTTCTAGGCATCAGGGATGAGAGGGATGGGGAAGGCAGCCCTGGGGAGCGAGAGAACTAGTCCACCAGTCCTTTCAAGATCTGCCATTGCCATTGCAGTGTTGTGATCTGGAAGGCACCATATTTCATTGGATAATAGACGTCACCACATAACAGTCACACCCCTGGTTTTTGAGGTGTTGAAAATTGAATTTGTTTCCTCGCATAATAGTCGCAGAGACATTTGGGGCAAATCCTGCCTTCGTTTCTTCTTTATCCCAAATCAAGGTAGTTTAAGAACAATGAAATTGTCTCATGCATTTGTATGGAATCACTATCCGTTTCGTTTTTGTCTCATTTGTTTGGCCCACACTTTTCTCCTCCCTCCGAGCCCTTAAGGCCATTTAAAAACCTGAAATGGAGGTCTCTGGAACTTGGATCCTTAAGATGGAGGGAGGAGAGAAAAGTGGAGCTCCAGAGACCTCCATTTTACAGTTTTTAAACTGCCTTCCCTTCAGATAAAGAAGGAAGGGAGACTCAGCCCCAAATGGGTTGTTGCAGGTTTTTCAGGTTGTGTGGCCATGTTCTAGAAACATTCTCTCCTGACGTTTTGCCTGCATCTGTGGCAACCTCTGAGGATGCTTGCCACAGATGCAGGCGAAATGTCAGGAGAGAATGCTTCTAGGACATGGCCATACAACCCGAAAAACCTACAACAACCCAGTGATTCTGGCCATGAAAGCCTTCAACAGTCCCAAATGGCTCTGTAGTTTAAAAAGCCCTCCACCAAAAGTTTTGTTTGTTTAAGGCTGGAGCATTCTTTCTCCTCCTCCCCTTTCGGAGGTAAGGTATCTTATTTTTTAAAAATAACAATGGAAAAGAGAGGGTCAAAGGCAGATTTGTTTTCTTCATGTAATAGTCGCATCCCCTTTTTGATGTCAAAAGGCGGGAAAATGCAACAATATACATGATGAAATGCAATCTTTCAATCCTGTGCAGTTCCCTCACATACATACTAAGTTCTGCAGCCTTAATTTTCACACTAGATTGAGGCCCATTGGATTTATTTCCAGATAAGAATGTATAGGCAGACTTCAAGTTACAGGCATGGTTTGTTATGATGAATTTATATGTAAGTGGGTTTTGAATAGCATAGGGAAGGGCCAACAACTCTGTGACAATTGTTTTGCTTTCTGTGCCCATTCAGAAGATTTGCCCTTCCTTTTTGCCCCTGTAACAATTGGATTTTGAAAAAAAAAATATCGGCTTGTTATAGAAACAAGGATTGATGAGAAAGCTTCAATGGAAACAACTTTCCCCCAGGATAACACTTAAAGGAATTAGTTCTGTTCCTAGGGGTAGATTTCCTGTCTCTTCCTGTGGTCTCACCTCCAGTCTAAACTAGGACTTGTATGTAAGTCGGATGTCTGTAACTTGGGTCTGCCTGTATATAGATTAGCTGTGAGAACCATTTACACATCATAATCCACTTACATAACTTGATTTGCATGCTTGGCTTCAAAGCATTTGTCTAATATGGAGGACTGTTATAGAGGCTTGTTTTAGAACCAAAAGATCTTGTAGAAGGATGGTTGAAAAATAAAAGAGTTGGAACCTTCTAGAATAGGCCTGCATGACCGGTAGCCATCCAGGTGTTTTGGACTTCCCAGAATTCCCGACCATTGGACAAGCTAACTGGGGCTTCTGGAAGTTGGAGTCCCAAACACCTGGTTGCGCGAGCCTGTTCTAGAAGGAGTGGGGAACCTCCTTGCTGACCACAATCTGGAATTCACCAACATCTGGATGGCTCCTGGTTGCTATCTTTATGTGTGACAGTGGTTCTCGACCTGTGGTTCCCCAGATGTTTTGGTCTTAAACTCCCAGAAATCCTAAGAGATGGTAAACTTGCTGCGATTTCTGGGAGTTGTAGGCCAAAACACTCAGGGACCCAGAGGTTGAGAACCACTGATGTATGACAACAATTGAGCATGGACTTTGCAAAGTTTTGACAGTGTGGCATACTCTGCTGCAGTGCTTCAATGGTTTTATGCTCTTTGCTATGTTTAGGGAGAGCATTGAGAAGAGACATTCAAGCCATCCTTCACCTGCACCTCTTCATTCAGTGAGCTCCCTTGGACATAGCCGAAGCTCAGCTGAGCAGATCCGGAGTAGTCACTTGAACCCCGAAGTCCGGGAGAAAGAGAAGAACAAAGAGCGGGACAGGGAACACTCTGACTCTCGCAAGGATGCCAGCACCGATGAGCACAAAGTTAAGGACAACTACATTTCGGACAAAGACGGCCTGACTCACGAGAGCAGGCCGTTGGAGGAGTCTAAACAGGCATCGAGGGTGCCTTCGCCCTACACCCGGCCTCCGGTTGCGGAGAACACCAGACCTAACAGCACCTCTAGCCGGGAGCCTGAAAAGAAGACTGAAACCGCGTATGAGAACCTAAAGAAATCCAGTGAAATCAAAGTGAAGGAGGAGAGGAAGGAAGACCATGATATCCCGCCTGAACCGCCGCAGCCTCATCGACCGTCGGAGCAGCCACTACCAGTGCCCACATCTGGCGTCCACCCAGGCCCCTTGGTCTCTATGCCTATGACTGTTGGTGTGACTGGGATCCATCCCATGAACAGCATCAGCGGCCTGGACAGGACTCGCATGATGACGCCTTTCATGGGGATCAGCCCTGTCCCGGGCGGGGAACGCTTCCCTTACCCGTCGTTCCACTGGGATCCCATGAGAGACCCCTACCGAGACTTGGACCTCCACCGGAGAGACCCTTTAGGGAGGGAGTTCCTCCTGAGGAACGACCCGCTGCACCGCCTCTCGGCACCCCGGCTGTACGACGCGGAGAGGCCTTTCAGGGACCGAGAGCCGCACGACTACAATCACCACCACCCTGCCCTTTCCATCGATCCTCGGCGCGAGCACGAGCGGGGGGCTCACCTGGACGAGCGGGAGAGGCTGCACATGCTCCGAGAGGACTACGAGCACGTGCGGCTCCACTCGGTTCACCCAGCGGCCCTGGACGGCCACTTACCCCATCCAGGTTTACTCACCCCAGGACTCCCAAGCATGCACTACCCCAGAGTCAGCCCCTCGTCCGGACTCCCGAACGGGATTCTCAACAAAACGCCCCCTACCGCAGCTCTGAGTGCGCCTCCCCCTTTAATTTCCACTCTGGGACCTCGGCCGAGCTCTCCGCGAAGGACTACCCCTTTGTCGACAGAAATGCGGGACAGGCCGCCCTCCCACACACTGAAGGACATAGAAGCGCGATAAGAGGACATTCTTCGGTGGGAAATCTCTCCAGTCTCTTACTCGATAAATGTAGACTTTGGTTATGGCCCAGCTGTACAAAACGCATACATCCAGGCGCGTGGTAGGTTGGTTTGTTTCCTTGGGTTGTATATGATATGTTGGAAGCGAGTTTGCATCTTTTCTATCATTTTGAACAAAAGGTTTTGAGTCCAATACTTAGGTTACAAATAGGCAAAATTCAAATTTTCTCTCTCCTTCTTTCTCAAAGTCGAGATGAAGTTTGTTTTCCCACCGAGAGTGGAGCTTGTTTTTCTTCCTTTTTTTTGAAATGTTATTTCCTGGGTGATTGGGTCATATATGCAAACTGGGTAAGATGAAAGCTTTACTTTGTAAATATGTAAAATAGAAGACGCTAAGTAACATAATGCATTAATACTTCTTGAACTGTGCTCTTTGCAGACTTTTAATTATTACGTGGAGCACCGCACTCCGTTGGCTGCAGCGCCTCTTTTTTTTTTTTTAAGACAGCTAAACCCCTTCAACTATGCAATGAATTCTACGGCTTTTTCATGAAAGCCTCTTTTCACTCAAACGGAGCCTTGTCGATACACTCAACCACTCGCTTAAAGTCATACTTTCCCTGAACAAACCCGCACCTCTCTCTTACATATTTTTTTATATATATAAGAAATAAGCCATCCTAAGAATAGGATTCTATTCCGCACACACAACATTGGTATCAACGTCTGCTAGTGGGGTTTTTTTACACGACTGGTACGGCATTTAGTTGATTCCATCTGGGTTCAAACAACAGAAAAGGAGATTCCACCTGAACATAAGGAAGAACATCCTGACCTGAAGCAGAGCAGTTCAATAGCGGAACTCTCTAACTCAGGCTTTTTAATAGATGGCCATCTGTCAGGGGTGCTTTGATTGCGCTTTTCCTGCATAGTAGGCGGTTGGACTAGATGGCCCATTGGAATCAGTGGTGAACTCCAATTCTATTATTCTGATTTGGAATACAAGCTTTATAGGTATTTTTGCTAGGTAATTGAGATAAAGCGATCGTCAACCAGATGCCTTTATCTCAACTCTTTCGACCTTCCGCAGACTCTGTCTTGAAGGTACGAAGATAAACGGTTCAAACGAACTCCATAAATCAGCTTTCAACGAAAGCGGTTCTCTCTACTTTATTTACAATAACTATGTACAGTCTTGAAACATGCCCGATCCGGTCACATCATGTCAATAGAACAGAATAGTTTTCTGGTTGGTACAGGAAATGGTATAACTGGCCTTCTAGCAATATTCCGCCCCTCTATTACATTAACTCATTAACTTCTGGAACATTTCTGACATACGCCGTTTAAACTATAGTAGAGTCTCGCTTATCTGACCTTCGCTTATCCGACATTCCATCTTATCCAACGCTCTTATCCGACACCCCTGTTTCCTCCAGCATTTCCCCTTCAATTAAAGGAGCGCTCCCCAACTTTTTCCATTTCCAATAAGTGAAAAGGCAAGACGAGGAGGAGGGAGGAAAGGGGGAAAAGAGGCAGGACCAGAAGCGGAAGTGTCCTCCCTCCTTCCCTCAGGGATTTCCACACTCCTCTTCTGCATCCGGACACTTCCTGCTGGGCCTCTCTAGCCCTGGGGCATTGCCTTGCTTTAACTCTTTGAGTCTCTGTTAGTATTTTGGGTGTCTAGTGCCACGTTGGACGGGTAACAGTAGGTGACTATATTATCCAACATTTTTGTTTATCCAACGTTCTGCTGGCCCGCTTATGTTGGATAAGTGAGACTCTACTATACATGCTGTTTTCACTTAAACACCATAAACATTGGCAATTTTGGTACTGGGAAGGAGGTACGAACTGTCCCACAGATGCCGCAAGATATAGGGAGTTGCGTTATTGCTGTCACCCACTCGTCTGTCCTCCCGTGTCCAAGGATGTTGCAGTCCTGCAACTATCTGGTGATACCCAAAGGACCCTCTGCAAACGACATTTCTTACAATGGAACCAACCTGTTGTCATTTGCTTGCCACCATAGAGTCGCTTCCCCTTTCTGGAGGTTCTTAGTCTAGTTCAGTCGAGTAACCGCTGGCAACCAGGCATAATAGTCATAGTAATGTTTGTAGTTTGGAAATGCCGTGCATTAGGGAGACATGACTTCTGGGTTTTATGTGCCATTGTAACTCTCTTTGGAGGCATCAGAGGATATGGGGTATCATTTAAATTTGGGGATGGAAACAGCCGCGCATTCCCCCTCTTCCCATTTTCCCCTACACTCCTAAACAATCTAAGACTAGTAGGCATGGGTTTTTAAAAGTTTTTTTAATGAAACAGTGGACATTAATATTGCTACAATGCAGTCAATCACAAGAGCCTTTGGGTGTGTTCAACTACAACTCTCATCATCCCCATCCTGACTGACTCTTGAGAGTAGGGGAGTCGTAGTCGGACATATCCAAGAGGTGCCATGTTGGGGAAGAACAATTACAGGATGCTTTTTTTAATTTTTAATTTTTACATAATTGTTTACAATGTCTAGTCTAGCTTGTCCTAACCACACGGGGGAAATGAATATATATATAAATATGAATATATATAAAATATAAATATTAATTTTATAAGAACATTACAATTGTTTTGGCTTTTTCAGAACTTCTGTTTGCATACCGTTTTGAAACTATTTGGAGAAAATATGACTTTATCAGAAAGCATACACTTAACCTTGCATACTACTGGATTGTAAAAAAAATATGTGTATGGAATAAAACAGAATTAGTTCCATTGGTCTTCTAGTGTATTAAAGTGATATCTCAAGTCGTTTTCCTGTTTTGACAAAGAGAAGTCTAATTACAGACAGCTGTTTCTAATGATCAGAAATCTATTTTAGTAGTCAACTAAAAAAAGTTTTAGTTGTGAACTTCAGATTTTGTGAACTCCAGATGTTGTGCAGTGTGTTTTTTGATTTTTAAGAAAAAGACAAAAAAATTACCCAAAAAAACGAGAGAAAGGAGAGAATCCTGGGGGGCAAATGTATGCCGGCACTGTAGCGATAGCTTTCAATATTGTAAAGAAATTGTTATATACCAATCTTTTTGCTGTTACTCCTGTGTGTAATAAAAGTCCTTTCTAGATCCTATGTGAGAAGGAAAAAAAATACAACCAACCCTGAAGCAACAAGCAATCCACAGCATGTTTCCTCATGAGCAAAGACTTGTGTAATGTAAATTTGTGCCATGTTATTAAAAAATGTGAACTCAACTGGTCAGGCCCTTCTTTGTTTTGGATCAGGACCAGTTGGATAGATAATTGATACAGGAGTCGTGGCCCACATGACAATGTCCAAGCACAATTCCAACCATTGCAATGAGGATGGAAGATACAGGATCAGTATGGAGCCAGTGGGATTGCAGGTAAAAGGGGACGGACGTCATCCAAGAGTAGTGTTGGGGGAAATATAATTTGGGGCATCCAAAGGAAAAGGCACACTTGGGAACACAGCATAGACGTCAGTCTGGTGATTTTGCCATGTCTCGGTCTCAGCGACCACTAGCAGGTCATCCATGTATTGGTGTACTAAGCTGAAACAGAGACACCAATGGTCTGTTTCCCCATAGGACCTCCAGCTGTTAAACATCCAAAAATACATTTGTTGCTTCATTGTAGGTAAGTTTGTAGTCTGTTAGAAAAGTAGATCATACATAGACACCTTACTTACTTACTTTACTTACTTAGGCAATCCTTCGTTGGCCGAGTAGGATAGTCTTCCAGGATCAGAATTCTTGTGAGTCTGTAGGTGGCTGTGGAGCCCAATTCTTGATCTGCATCTTCTCCCGCAGTGAGGGCATTGGTTTCCAGGTGGAAGGCGGTCCAAGTCGGGGTTGGCTTGACACACCTTCCTCTTGGCACATTTCTCTCTTTCACCCTCCATTTGTGCCTCTTCAAATTCTGCAGCACTGCTGGTCACAGCTGACCTCCAGCTGGAGCGCTCAAGGGCCAGGGCTTCCCAGTTCTCAGTGTCTATGCCAGAGTTTTTAAGGTTGGCTTTGAGCCCATCTTTATCTCTTTTCCTGTCCACCAACATTCCGTTTTCCATTCTTGAGTTTGGAGTAGAGCAACTGCTTTGGGAGACGGTGGTCGGGCATCCGGACAACATGGCCGGTCCAGCGGAGTTGATGGTGGAGGACCATCGCTTCAATGCTGGTGGTCTTTGCTTCTTCCAGCACGCTGACATTTGTCCGCTTGTCTTCCCAAGAGATTTGCAGGATTTTCCGGAGGCAGCGCTGATGGAATCGTTCCAGGAGTTGCATGTGACGTCTGTAGACAGTCCACATTGCAGGCATAGAGCAGGGTTGGGAGGACAATAGCTTTATAAACAAGCACCTTGGTATCCCTACAGATGTCCCGGTCCTCAAACACTCTCTGCTTCATTCGGAAAAATGCTGCACTCGCAGAGCTCAGGTGGTGTTGTATTTCGGTGTTGATGTTGACTTTGGTGGAGAGGTGGCTGCCAAGGTAGCGGAAATGGTCAACATTTTCTAATGTTACACCATTAAGCTGTATCTCTGGCATTGGAGAGGGGCTGGCTGGTGACTGCTGGAAGAGGACTTTGGTTTTCTTGATGTTTAATGACAGGCCAAGCTTCTCGTATGCTTCTGCGAAGGTGTTTAGAATGGCTTGTAGGTCTTCTTCTGAATGCGCACAGACGGACTGTGAATAGACACCTATGGTTAGCTTCTCCATAGTCCCCTGTCTCTAGGGCCAGCCTCCCCATAGGGCAGTGGTTCTCAACCTGTGGGTCCCTAGGTGTTTTGGCTTACAACTCCCAGAAATCCCAGCCAGTTTACCAGCTGTTAGGATTTCTGGGAGTTGAAGGCCAAAACATCTGGGGACCACAGGTTGAGAACCACTGCCATAGGGCTCCCTTGGCAGTGTGATATAACCCTTTTGATTCTATGAAGATCCTGTATTGAATTCTGGTGACAGAATGCAGCCATGAGAGTCCAGGACCGCCAGTTCCAGTCAATCCCATCTCCTTTGTTTTGTCAAAATTGCATACTAATATTCAAGAGGGGAAATACCACATGGAGGTCAATTCATATAACGAAATACAAAGAGTACCTGGGAAACTCATGCTGCATTGCTGAGATGCTGCCGCCAGAGGAAAACAGAGCACACCGTAGGAAGCCAGTCCACATAGGAGATGAGGCTAGAGCACTGCCAGAAAGCTCTTCTCAGAAGGCCTGCTCTTACTACTACAACTACAACTGGGTTGCTGTAAGTATGACCATGTTCCGGAAGCATGTTTCACCTGCGTCTATGGCAGGCAGCCTACCATGCAGGAAAACTCGCAGCAACCCAGTGATCCCGACCACGAAAGCCTTCGACAACACATTATTATTATTATTATTATTATTATTATTATTATTATTATTTTACCGACACAAGAACACAGTATGACACAGCAAACGAGATACATATGCTGGATTTCTTATAACAAAATCACAAGTCAAACACTTCCCAAGCATTTATTATTATCATTATCATTGATGTGAGCTCCTTTGGGTCTTGATTAGGTGATAAAACCAGAAGAAAAAATACAATCATTATATTATTATTAGTATTATTTGCTTTGGGTCTCGGAAAAACATAATAATGCTAATAAACATTATTATTGATGTGAGCTGCTTTTTTTTGGTCTTAATTAGGAGAGAGAAGTAGAATAATAAAAATATTATCATCATCATTTATTAATTATCATCCTCCATTCTGACCCAATGACCCCATTATATGCAATGCCCTCATGTATGGCCCTTTGCTGCCCTCAGGTGGACACAGTAAGCATTGCATCCTCAGAAAGCAATGACTGAGCCATAGGCTTCTATGCAGACAGTCATTGAGGAGAAGCGCCTCTTTGCTGCCATCCAGTGGCCAAACTGGCAAATTGCAGCCATGCATTAGATTTTCCCTTCATTGATCCCCTTTGGGGAGGGAGGGAAGGACAATAAGGAAGGAAAGGGAAAAAAGAAGGAAGGAAGGAAGGAAAAATGAAATAAAACGAAGGAAGGAGAACGGCTGAATTCTAAATATAATCTAGCCACAAAATGGGTCAATGCACTCTGGACATGCTCAGAGGCCTTGCTGGGAAAGAATGGTCAAGAACCCTTCCTGGCATCAGAATGGATAAATATACTCTGTACATGCTCAGAGGTATCACGAATCCTTTGGGGAGTGCATTGTAATAACATCTGGATTTTCTCTACAGATCAAAGCCTACAGATTGCCATCGTTATCATTGATGTGAAATGCTTTGGGTATCAATTAAAATAAATGCAGAATAATGCTAACAATAATAAATACAATCATATATGAGCTGCGCTGGGTCTTGATTACGAAAGAAAAGTGGAATAAAAATGTATTATTCTGAGTTGCTTTGGGGTCTCAATTAGGAGTAAAAAGCAGAATAATCATCACAATTATTATTTATTTATTTACGACATTTATATGCTGCCCTTCTCACCCCGAAGGGGACTCAGAGTGGCTTACAAGTCATGTGTACATAAAACATGCTATATTATTAGCATAGTACTAATACATCATTCATAATATTAGTATTATATAATATTATATTGTTGCTGGGGGAGGGGCTCTGATATTATTGATGTGAGCTGCGTTGGATCTTGATTAGGAGAGAAGAAGAATAATAAAAATATCTCCCTCACTGTCATCATCATCATCATTATTATTGTTATTATTATTATGCATTCTGAGGCCAGGAAGGGTTTCTGACCCAATGACCCATTTGTATGCTGCGCCCCATGTATGTCTCTTTGCCGCCCTCCGGTGGACAAAGCGAGCACTGCACCTTCAGAGGGCTACCATAGCAGGCAGCTGAACCATTGGCAAAGCATTGAGAGGCACCTCTTTGCCGCCATCCAGTGGCCAAATCCAGACACCGCAGCTATTCATTATATTATTATTATTATTATTATTATGACACTTTGTATGCTGCGCCTCATGTATGTCTCTTTGCCGCCCTCCGGTGGACAAAGCGAGCGCTGCACCTTTAGAGGGCCACCATAAGCTTCTATGCAGGCAGCTGAACCATTGGCAATGCATTGAGAGGCGGCTCTTTGCCACCACCAAGTGGCCAAATGGAGACATTGCAGCCATTCATTATATTATTACTACTATGACGCTTTGTATGCTGCGCCTCATGTATGTCTCTTTGCCGCCCTCCGGTGGACAAAGCGAGCGCTGCACCTTTAGAGGGCCACCACAGGCTTCTATGCAGGCAGCTGTGCCATAGGCAATGCATTGAGAGGCGCCTCTTTGCCGCCATCGAGTGGCTAAATCGAGACATTGCAGCCATTCATTATATTATTATTATGACACTTTGTATGCTGCGCCTCATAAAAGTCTCTTTGCCGCCCTCTGGTGGACAAAGCGAGCGCTGCACCTTTAGAGGGCCACCCTAGGCTTCTATGCAGGCAGCTGAACCATTGGCAATGCATTGAGATGCGCCTCTTTGCCGCCATCCAGTGGCCAAATCGAGACACCGCAGCTATTCATTATATTATTATTATGACACTTTTTGTATGTTGCGCCTCATGTATGTCTCTTTGCCGCCCTCCGGTGRACAAAGCGAGCGCTGCACCTTTAGAGGGCCACCAAAGGCTTTTATATAGGCAGCTGACCTATTGGCAATGCGTTGAGGCGCCTCTTTGCCGCCATCCAGCGGCCAAATCGAGACTCCGCAGCTATTCATTATATTATTATTGTTATGACACTTTGCTGCGTCTCATGTATGTCTCTTTGCCGCCCTCCGGTGGACAAAGCGAGYGCTGCACCTTTAGAGGGCCAGCATAGGCTTCTATGCAGGCAGCTGTGCCATAGGCAATGCATTGAGAGGCGCCTCTTTGCCGCCACCCAGTGGCTCAATCGAGACATTGCAGCCATTCATTATATTATTATTATTATTATTATGACACTTGATATGCTGCGCCTCATAAATGTCTCTTTGCCGCCCTCCGGTGGGCACAGCGAGCACTGCACCTTTAGAGGGCCACCATAGGCTTCTATGTAGGTAGCTGAGACATAGGCAAAGCATTGAGAGGCACCTTTCCGCCATCCAGTGGCCAAATCCAGACATTGCAGCCTTTCATTATATCTTGGGAAAGGGAAGGAAAGCATGCTAACAATGACGGAAACTACTTTGGATCTTAATCTATAGAGAAAAGTAGGGCATCATTATCTATATC